TTTTTTTTTTTTTTTTTTTTTTTTTTTTCCCTTCTGGAAAAAAAGTCAAGAGGATTTTTCTTTTCCTCTCTTTGGCCCAAGATGACGCTAATCCCAAACAGGACTAGTGCATGTTGCCGCTTCAAGAATCCAGGGCTATTCTGATTGTCAGTATTGGGGATTGTGCATTGTGCAGTGGCTCTCTTACCGGCAAATCACGAGATTGCAATCAAAGACGCATAGGGCTTATCGCGATTGACATTCCTTTCTCCCCCCTCTTCATTGGATCCTGATGGTGTGGAAACGCAACATTGGTCAACCATCACATTTTCAAGTGTGCTTGAGTACCAACATTTCAATGAAAGAAAATAACATTATTAGCCATAGTGCAATATATCTGCATGAGCCGTAATATTACTAAATGGACTTGACCCTCAATACTAGTACCTGTCCAGAGACTCCGACAACTGTAAATACGCGGGTGGAAGAGGTCCCATGTACAGAGAGAAGCGAATAAAGAGAAAATAACAAGCATCAAGTTAATTGCGCCAGGACGCCACAGCTATGCAACCAGTAACTATTCACTTTGTGCGCAATGGATAATCTGTACGTCTATGTGTGTGCGATCATACCTACCATCCCGGCTCTCTATAGCAATAACACAATTTGGCTCAACTAAGATCAAACCCGGCGCCAGAGTTGATGGCATAAAGAAGCTTTTCCCGTAGGATGTCGGCGTTGGTATAACGAGGCAGCTTCAGAAGATTCACGCAGGTGCTCGTACTAGGAAGTCGCTCCTGGTCCTCACTGGAATCACGAATGCTGAATCGTGGGTTCAGGTGACTAAATCCCAGTAGAGGAGCTCGTGGAGTAGACGTCACAAATCGTAGCACCTTCTGTCGCTCCTCGTTGGTCATCTTATGCATGACCTCCCAGAATAGTTGGATCGTCGGATGCTCTTCCCTATCGTCGCCAATGGTATACACCCCTCCGTATTGAGTGTTGCGCCTCAAATCCGATACGTCTATATCCCCTGACTCGCCACTAACCAAGGTCTGCAGTTCCGACTGGTTGAACATCGACAGCCACGAAGGCTGTATAACTTGTCCCAGACCTTGGAGAAAGGCGTTTGTTTGCAAAGCGGGCTGTGCCTGAAGACGGTATCGAGCAATATATGAGATATACACGAGCCGGTTCTGGTTCGTTACAGGTATATCTGACCCGTGGGGTTTGAGGTCCCGAGTGATCGTGCGACTTCTCCCGTTCGAAAGAGGTATGATATCAGTAACGGTGAAGTTCAAAGAAAAGTCTTCCACATCCCCTGGGTAGTTTTTCAGTTGCAACTATAGAAAAGTTAGCTGGCAGACTGGAAGGTTGTCTCTATCATCAACCATCGCTTACCAATCCTTGATATAGTCCCTGGTCGAGGTCTTTAAGGTCATTAAGGTTGGCTCGATATGCTGTTTCCTTTTGTGCCGAGCCCGTGCCACCCGTCAAAGCCCATTTCAGTAGGAAAAACGGCGCAAAGTTCACATCAACCAAGATACCCTCGTAAAGACACTTTCCTATAACTCGCCCTAAGAACTCATACCGCCTGAGCAAATCGCGGATATTGTCATTCCAGTCTGGGCCGTTCTCAGCAAGCCCACCCTGTCTCAAGAGCTCGCGACGATGCTCGACCGCAGCTGGGTTCGGGTAGAGTAGATGTTGCTCGTTCTCTTCAAACAAGTTCAAGTCACTTATGGATTTGAAGGCTTCATTCGTGACGCTGGTTAGAAATTCCTTCGTCACACCACCACCATCAATACCCGCTTCCGGAGTGTTGAACTTGTCAATGAATGTAATCTGTATAGGTTCTTTGAGGCTCTCGCCGAGTTCGTAGAACTGATCAAATGCATCTTCGAACACTCTCTCGCGTCTGATGTTCGCATGATGCCGGCCAAGGATATCCTGCACCGCGGGCCTCCCATCGATTATACGCCCCATCGAGGCCTGGGCTACAGACATACGCCAAGCATCCGGGTCGATGAACCCTTGTCGTCTGCGCATCTGATCACGATAAATGAATTCTCGAAATATCTGCACTCGGGTATGAAAAGGAATGAAGAACGGCATGTTTCTCAGGATTTCGAGTCTAGGAGCCACCGCCTCCAGTTGTTTCCTGCGAGCTGCTCGTTGTTGACGTCGTCTAAGAGCTTCGATTCGCCGGGTCTGTTGGGCACGTCCTGTGCCAATTAGTCCCAATGACGGTTCATAATAAGCATCATTCATTAAATCATCCTGTTCGTCACCCTCTTCCTCGTCCTGCAGTTGGTGTCTATTCTCTTCTTCCGCCACAACAGCAGGGATAAAACCTTCCATGTCAAAGCGGTTGGTCATCAGCCAGTGCCCGTCAGGGAGGAACTTGCGTCGTGAATCACGCTCATGAATCATCCTCAACAGACCGGTCACGAGGCCTTTGAAATAGTCGAGCGGGATCCCAGTCACACCAGATAGCCCTTTTTCCTTATTTTTCATTTCAAGATCCCGAACGCTTGAAATGGTGTCAGATGGAGGAACAGAGGAGCTGAAATAACTCCGAATCCCTGCACTGTCATTAACAGTTTCATCTTCATTCAAATCTGCCGAGTTCCAATACAGAGTAAATGCCAGGTTTTTCAAGAATATTGTCATATCCTTGATATCTTCCAAAGGAAGAGCGCTCTCCTTGGTCCATGAAACTCTCGTATTTGAAGAAGCAGTGAAAGAAGATCCGCTAGAGAAAAACTCCTCATCATCCATCACTTTGAGGACAAACGTATACAGCTCAAGGAAGAGGAGAATGATCATCCACTCTTCGTCACGCTCTTTGGGCGACATGGTTGGTAGCCTGGCGTCATTCGTATCGCTGGCTGGTTTCAGTAATGACAGTACCTTCGTTGAATCTTCGCTTATTGTATTGAAGATGTCACTGGACCTGGATGCTTGCCAAAAATATTTGATAGCCGGTATTCTCGACCCAGGTTGGCCGGCCATGTGATCATCCGAGATAGCGGATCCCAAATACAACCACATTCGAATGTCATCGCCTCGCCGAGGAAACACCCTCAAAAGAGTCAGGGCGTATGTTGCAAGGATTCTCGCCTCCCGCGACGCATCAGATTGTGAATCTGCCAGGTCACGTTGAGACAAGTGACTAGATTGCAACTCAGAAAGCAATCCGGTTATACTCCCCTGGTTGACAAGGCTGAATAGCTGTTCCTTAATAAATGGATGCAATGGTGCTCTTTCAGGTGTGTCGCCAAATTCGGTGACCTCCCCGGATTCGAGACGTCGCGATATATGCACAGCAGTAGAGTTGAGTAAGTCCGATACAACCTTCACAAAACCAGACTCGGGTGCTTGGTATCCGGCCTGGCTTCCCAGAGCATGCCTATGGAAGAATATAAAATACGAAAGTAGCCAGAGGCGGGCATCCACATCAACGGAGTTTTGAGGGCTGTCTTTGAAATGCAACTGCAAGGGCTCGAACGCGGACGTCAGCAATTTATAATTGATATTGTTTGCAAGCCCATCCAATGTCCCTAGGTACGCCGGGAGATCTGGAACAGTCAAGTAGCTCCTTGCAAACCATTCATAGGCAGTGAGCGTTTCGGCGGTTATCGGTCGAAGCAATGCTAGAACAGCTTGAATGAGGTTATCTCTCGATAAAAGACACCTTGAGGAGATTGCGTCTATATTTATCGTGAGAGAAGCCATTACAGAGTAATATTCTTGAGATAAGCGAGCCATTTGCTTTGGGATGAGGTCCATCAAAAATATCAATAACTCGAGAAGAGGCCACAAGGCAATCGCTGGCACTGTCGGAGCGGCAGCTGAATGCAGCACGCGTAGAGTCAACCTTGACAAGCGCTTCAGAGGCGTTGTCCACTCTCCTTTGGTCGCAATAGTGGGCACCTTGCGTAGGGTGTTTTGGAATGCCTTTGAAAAGTAGGCGAGTCGGAGGATATCACCGCTGTTCCGCGGGTCCAGGAACTGTACCAACAGTCGTAACTGCGACAGGCACTCTGCTGCTGTGGAATAGTGAGGTGAAGTCTGTACAGCATCATGGGTCATTTCATCGAATGATAGGAGCAGTTGTGACCTCTGTTGCTCAGTGACATCCCACTCTGCTCGCCATGCACCGCACGTTATCTTCCTACTTTGATAACCCCGCCATGTCCGCTGGACGATCCGGGTCGCGCCCAACCGTTCTCTCTCTTGTTGCCTTAGTAGGCGCTCTTGTTGTGCAACTGCCAGAGTATTCTGGGGTCCTGTGCCATGAGGGTGTTGTCTTCCGGAAGGAAATGCGGCGAAAGGGTTCGTATTGCGACCTCCGAGATTAACCTGCCGCGGACGGCGAGAGTTACCCGTGAATGACTGGAACATACTCCGTTATTTTGCTCGGGCTTTGGGGATATTCAAGATACCAGGTTCAACGGATTGAAAAGTCGCTGCAAATTATGAGAAGCAAGATAAGAGAGCCCCCATATCGCAAATGGGCAAAGTTGGCTTGATCCGCCAAGATGGTGGAAGTCCGATGAGTTGTTGCGCTATGACATACGGAGTGCGCTTCTGAGAGAGCTTCCGAGTATTGCCACGTACCGTATGGCGGACAATAATTATTGCCACGCACTTGAGCGCCACCGAAACTTCCATCGGCGGGATTTATAATGAATGGAATGAGTGAGAAGACCTACTTTGTTTAAGGAAGCATTGTTACTATTTATATTTGTTTCCAGGCGTCTCCCCGTTTCTTATCGGTAATGGAGAAGAACATCCTACGTGCCACTGCAGCTTTGGGCAGTCTCAAGTCAGTTTTATATTGAGTCCATGGTAGCAGACACCGCCGCAAGGGAATTCATCAGATCATCTAATTCATTTGGTATTCTGACAAAGTCTTTCTATATGACATGGCTGAAGAAAGATAAATGAAGAGGCTGAGATGCAAAACCCAGAAATGCGCCCGCAAAAGAGTATACAAATTCCAAGAGGTGTAGTGACAGTAGCCAGGAGACATTGCTTCCTTCCCTGCCACTTGGTATCTTGTGAAAAAATGGGGTGGTTTTCCCTGAAATAGCACGAGCCTATCCAAATCACCATACACCGCACATACAGTACAATATAATAATAATACAAAAGCGTTCAGATCAAGCGATGTAGGCGCGGGTAACGGTGATGCCTTAAGTGGGCCAGTGGTGTGCGCAAGCGAGAGGTTGAAGTGAGGTTGAGGATTTCTTTGCGCAGTCTCTTGTGATGGCCTGCCTTAGCTCCCACCGATATCTCCCTAATCCCTGGGTGAAATAGACTAGTGATGGGGTGTCTGTTGTTCGAGTCGCTCCTGCTCAAGTACCTCTTGGCCATTGTCCGAAGCCCACATATCAAGGTAGTCCTTCCCGCCAAAGGCTCGCTCAACTGTAATCAGTTTGCTATCCTTCTCCATGTCTTTGGTGTATTTGGACTTTGTTGGGGCCATGCGTTGCGTGACGAATGGGGTAAGCTGTAGTCATTTGTCAACTATCCAGATCTAGGAAACAACATAGTGAAAACGATCAATGGCCATACCTTAAATTCATCCAAGTTATCAGGAACAACAAAGGTTCGGACTTTTTTCCAGTCGATCACATACGAGCCGTTCTTCGCGAAATAACCCATCGCGCCGGTGCGGTTTCCTTTATAGTAGCCACCATTGACCTGCTTGGTTGTCAAGCGCAGTCGCGCCATCATCGGTTGTGAAGGCTTGAACATTGTGGAGGTGTTATGAGCAATTGGCCAGCAGAACCTACTGGATGGATTTGCGGAGACGTGCAATGATACTAATGTCGGAGTCGGAGGAAAGATTTGAAAGTCGGCGGCGCTAAGGCCAAGTTAGGTCCATCATCCGCCAAGAACCTGAACTTTTTTTTGATCTGCGGATAAAAAAAAAAATATTCCAACTACCACACGCCACACTCTTATTTGTTGAGCAGTGCATACGAAGCTCTCAGGGCTATGGTTAAGATCGTGAATACATTCTTTATACGATCTTGCCTCTTAATACTTGTTTGAAGGCCCCGCAACAATGCCCCGCAAGCAAACCCAGTTGCGCGGTCCCCGAGATCAATCAGCTAAAAAGCAACCTCAAAAGAAAAAGCCTAGCAAAGCTTTGAATGCTCTTGCTATCGCAGAGGCTCAATTTCCCATCAAACCAAAGATTCGGCGAAACCGTTTAGGCGATGATGATGACCTATTCAAGCGGAAGCGGCATTCCGGCCGCGACATGGACGATTCAGATGAGCCCGATAACAAGCGTCGTCGGACAGGTGACGAGTCATCCGATCTGAGTGAAAACGGCGGTAGTGACGGGGAAGGCCACAAGTGGAGACTTGGGGAGGTCGATAGTGACGATGATAGCGAACTGGACAGTGATGAGGCCATGGGCTCTAGTGATGAGGAAAGATTCGAAGGCTTCAGTTTCCGGGGAAGTTCTTCGAATAAACCGAAGCGAAAGGGCCCCGAGCCAAAGAAACGTGGTCGCCAGATTAACTTGTCCGAAGATGTGGAAGAATCTGAAGATGGCGAAATGGACGAAGATGAAGATGATCTTGGCGAAGATGCAGTGGATTTGATCACAGCTTGGGATATGAATACAGCAGAAGAGGAAGAAGCAGAAAAGAAAAAGTCCTCGAAGGCGAAGAGAGCAGCCGAGGAATTTGATGATAATAGTCACTCAGAAAGCGACTCCGAAAGCGACGACGACGATAGCAGTTTCGGTGATGAGAGCGAGCTGGAGCTCTCTGATAACGAGGATACTGGTAATGAGTACGGTCTTTCGAAACTCCAAGATTTTGTCATCTCTATGGAGACAGAGTCTACTAAGAAGTCGACGCGCAAAGTAAATGGCGGGCAGGAACATGGCAACCCAACGGAATTCGGATTATCGTCTACACGGAAATTGACTGTGGCCGACCTTTTACCATCTATTACAGACTCTCGCTTGAAGAGCTCCTTGAAACATGTTGATTCCACTATTGCTACGCACAAATCGTCCGGCGTTCCTGGAAAACTAGATGCTCCTCTTGCAAAGCGCCAACAAGACCGGCTGGACCGAGCTGCCGCATATGAGAAAAGCAAGGAAACCTTGGATCGCTGGCTAGAGACTGTTAAGGCCAATCGCAGGGCGGAACACCTTATGTTTCCCCTTCCCGACCCTGAAGGCGATCAGACGCACCGCTTAGGTGCCGCAGAGCCCCGAACGGACCTCGAAAGCGCTATCCAAAATATCCTAGTCGAGAGTGGCTTGGCAGAAGCCAATGGCAAATCAGCTGAAGACCAGGTACAGGAATTCGAGGAACTACAAGCGCGAAAACTGCCTATTGAGGAGATTCGGGCGCGCAGAGCAGAGTTGCGAAAACGACGTGATCTGCTTTTCCGAGAAGAAGTGCGAGCCAAACGGATCAAGAAAATCAAGAGCAAGTCATACCGTCGTGTGCATCGGAAAGAGCGAGAGAAGTTAGAGCAACAGGAAAGGCAGGCCCTTCTCGAAGCCGGCGTGGACATTGATGAACAAGAACGAGAGCAAAACGAAAGGCGCAGGGCAGAAGCGAGGATGGGCTCAAAACATAAGGACAGTAAATGGGCCAAGAGCCTCAAACAGACGGGTCGGACTGCATGGGATGAGGAAGCCCGACTTGGCACAGCCGACTTGGCCTTGAAGGAGGAAGAGTTACGACGGCGAATCGAAGGAAAGCGTATATCGCATGGAGACGAAGACTATCTGGGTTCGTCGAGTTCAGAATCTGACGATGATGATGATCCTTGGAATGAAGAAAATAGCTCTGATGCGGAGAAGCGTAAACTTCGCGAGAAGCTCGATAAGCTCGAGCATGGCAGTGATGTCGAATCAGAAATGAAGGGTCCTCACGCCAAGCTGCTTTCGATGAAATTCATGCAGAACGCGGAGGCTGCACGCAAAGCGCAGAACGACGCTGAAATCCGACGTCTCAATCGTGAACTCCATGGAGAAGAATCCCTGTCAGAAGCCGAGTCCGAGGTTGGCCGACGTAAATTTGGTCATTCTAAGGATTCGAAGTCGGCCACAGAGAGCAAATCAAAATCACAGGCTCGTAATGAGTTCGAAGAGGCCCCAGGATCAGATGATGAAGATGTTCGAGCCCCCGAGGTAGAACAGGATGTTGACATTGTAGTCAATCGGCCTGACAAGAGAAAACCGGCAGGATCTGATAAGAAGTCTCGCGCACGTGGCATATCTGGGTCCTTCAGCCAGAAAGAAGATGCTGCCGAAGATGAAAATCCATGGTTGATACAGACGAGTAGGAACAACCGCCGAACAACAGCGGATGATTCACAGCAGGGGCTTGACATCACTGTGGATGGAGGGAAACCTGATAGCACGAAGTCCAAGTCCATACCCAACAATCAGAAGGAGAAGCCGGCCATACCTCCGAAAAAGCAACATATGGACGAGGGCGATGATAGTGATGATGACGGCAACGTCCCCGTGCTTCTCAAGAACCATGATCTCGTCAAGAGAGCATTTGCTGGGGATGAGGTTGTGCAAGACTTTGAACAAGAGAAACATGACACTATCAAGGAGGAAGATGACCAAGTGATTGATAATACCTTGCCAGGCTGGGGCAATTGGGCGGGTGATGGCATCAGTAAGAAGCAGCAGAAGCGACAGAAACGATTCCTTACCACTGTTGAAGGTGTAAAGCCTGAGAACAGAAAAGACGCCAAACTCTCCCGCGTCATAATCAACGAGAAACGGGTTAAGAAGGTAAGACGACTCTGAATGAGGCGATGTGTCATTACCGATCGATCATCAGATGCTAACATTTCACTTCTCCATCTAGAACAACAAATACCTGGCCACTCAGCTTCCTCACCCCTTCGAGTCCAGACAACAGTACGAGAGGTCTCTCCGTCTACCGATTGGCCCCGAGTGGTCGACGAAGGAAACTTTGCAGAATGCAACCAAGCCTCGTGTGATGATCAAACAGGGCGTCATCAAGCCGATGGAGAAGCCTATGGTTTAATCACAATACGTTGGCTACAGGACGGTTGGTGGCGTACGAAGTGCAATTGGCCTTCGCTGACACCGTTGGCCTTCTATTTTACTTGTCATTCTGCCTTCTGGTGTATGAATAGTTAGACTGCAGTGCCTACATCACGATGCACTGTCATTTGATTGAATGACCGCCAAAATAAGAAAAAGAGTTATGATTCCCATTTAGCTTGCATTTGGCTTACATTTGGCGATAATAGTATAAGTCTATGCTGCCCCCCCCCCCCCCTGAGATATCCAGTGTAGAGACCCTTGTGAATATGATTATACAATACACTTATAGTAGTAAGGTACCTAGCAACCTTCGAGAGGAGGTATCGAGCCCTATATCAATCGTAGTGGGACAAGTGATCGGGTCGGGTGAGCTCTTCCCTGCCTGAGGCGTCTATCGTCCGTCAGGCGCCACGAGCGTCATCTGTACCTCGCCGCGTTACGCCTCGAGTTCTATGTAACATAACCCCAACACTTTAATTTTCACCCTGCAAGGGAATTGGTGGAGACCGGCCTTCGTGGTCGGCCACATGGACGGTCATGTCGATCCACTTCAAGATTTCGGAACTATCGCCGTGTATCATTCACCCATCCATTGCCATCCCCGATTGGAATACACCTCACGACACTCTTCATGGTAATCGTTCTCATGGGAAAAGCCCGGTCTCGTACTGGACCCTGCAGACATTTTCAAGTATATTCAGAGACTCACGTGTGTTTGCTCTCACAACCAAGAGTCTAGAGTATTTTAGTCGCCTAGTTTGCTCCACATCTGCTCCCGCTTCCTTCGGCAACATGCAAGATCATTCAATTCGATGCATCCCACCATCAAACAACGACATACCATTGACTTGAAACCAATCAGGCGATCGATTCTATTATCTAGGTAAGTCATGTATATTGGATACATACCCGTGGGTGGGGAGAGAGGCGTGGCAGAACACGCTAGTAGTTCGATCGGCGCATTCCATTGTTGACTCCTACATTGCTCTTCCTATTTGGGCGCCCACCAGCGGTATTTGTTTTCACCTCCTATACTGACATCCATGTAGATCGGCATTCTCGTTACACATCGCAGGCAACGCACTGCAGACAGCTGTGTCATCTGGTATCCCTTCACACGGTAACGGAGTTGTCTGCTCGGACTTGC